ATCTTGCTTTGAGAAGGTTATTGTCACTGCTCAATTTTTATTTGCTTAGTTTTGATTACGATGATAATAGGTTTAAACTTAAAAGAGTTCAGGAAAGTTTTGGTCATCCAAATTTGAGAAGGTTCTTGTCATTGTTTAGTTTCTTTGCTTGGTTTTGGTTAATAAAGTGATGACACACATTATCAAGTACATCATCAATGTTTTACATTCTATGATATGGGTATTGAGTTAGTATATGCTTCAGTAGTTTATATATGTGCTTTCTTTTTGTTATAATGGGCCTTGGTGGTTAATCAATGTTTTCACTAAACCTTGAAAAATTATTTATGTACTTGAATGAGTGAGTTAAGGGCTTTGAGTATGATTATCAAAACAAATTCTTGTCTTGAATGAACTATGCAGTATGCTTGAAATTAAGAATGAACTTGCAGGTAAGTATCGTACTTAGGAATCTTTCTTGCCTGATCATGACTGTGTCTGTGAAACACCGTCTTAAAACCATCAACCTTAACAAGTGGTGTGACCAATACACCTTCCTCTTCATTGAAATCTTCAAGCACTTCCACCATATCATACTTGTCCAAAAAATCATGTTTCGAAAAAATGCATGAAGAAGGTACTATTTCTACCGATGATGAGTAGAGGCCATGGTCTGTGTATTGGCAAGTTGCAGGGTTAGTAACAATATTATTGTGGTTAATTTCTAGCTTCACACTTTTGGTTCCTAATTAATAAATTTCATGACAGTAAAGAATTAATTAATTGTGTGTGTTTTGTAGTTATACAAAGAGATAGAAAATGAAATCGTATAATATAACATTTGCGACTGTAAAGGTACGAAAGTGGTTTAATTTGTCTATGAATTTGTTAAGATTTATCTGTACATTTTTTTATATGATTATTGATTATATAATTTCTGTAGTTATGGGAGCAGGATTTTATGAAAAGGCAGGAACCTGCAGTTAGGAAACTTAAGGAACCTATCTTGGATGACATTGCATCTGCATTGATTTGGCACCATGGGCTGAATTTTACGACGAAAGATAATTCTCTTATCTGCAGCTTTTATGTAAACAGGTCATTGCAGATTTTAAAATTTTTTTTTTTTTGTTTTATTATTGGCTCCTTTTGGTACTCAGTGTTCTTTTTAAGAGTTCATAACTAATAATTTAACTGAGGTTGTGGAGATTGGTAATTTTGTTTCCCTTCTTTCCAATTGCCCAATTTCTATTGCTTATTTAGATAGGCAGTATCCTTGTTGGATATAACTAATCAAGCGTGTAGTCCTATTAGTCATACTCAAGTACTTCTGTAGTGCAATCTGTGATCTAATATTAACATATTCCTCTTTATAACTATGTGAATATTTAAGTACAGAATAAAAATTTATGTAGCTGTCACGAAATTATTTTATTTCAGACCGTATGATATATGAAAGAATAGTTTTAGAAATTTTTTTTCGATGAAAGGATTTTTAAGATTTTTTTAATTAATAATTTCTTATTAAATTTAATTTTTATTATCATAATTATTTATGAATTAAATTTTATTATTCTAAAAATAATTTATAAATTAATAAAAATACTATTATAGAAGATAAAGAGGGTGGGTTAGGGGTAGGTATGGAGTTCTATTTAGTGGGTTTAGGATTTATTGGTGTAGAGAAGATTATCCATGGAAGTGGTGGTAGCTTTTCAGGACGGAAGGTTCAGGAAGTGGTAGTGAAGATAACTAAAAGAGGCAGGATTTTAATTAGTTGGACGCTTAGGCGGACAGAGAACTTTTCTATGAGGAGTCATAGGCTCTGAGCAATTTATGCAGGGTTGAAAGAGAGGATTTTTATTAATTTGTTTGATGCTGATTACATACTGCCTGAGAGCCAAGGTTGCTTCTATGTCTATTGTCCATACAGGAAATATACAATGATATGTAGTTGCTTCCATTTTGCTATGCTAACCATTCACTAATATTTAAAGCTGAATAAATTTTACTATTAGTAATTGTCTATATTAGAACTCTTTCGAGAAGGAATATGAAGGGTGAAATCCCACCTGAGCTTAGCAACATGGGGGCATGAACAAGGATGTAAGTACATTGATCTTCAGAATATAAATGCTTTTAGTTTTTCTTTAATAAGGTTTCTTTTGTAATTCATTCTGTTTCGCTTAGGTGGTTAGATGACAAGCTGCTTATTGGACCATTACTTGACATGAGTAAACTTATAGCATATATGATATATTTGCCCAAAGTGGAGGGTGATGACCGTGCACAAGCACAAGCACGTGCTTTGGCAACTCTGTACTCACATCCAGTTGTAGGTGTTTGACTGCTGTCACTTTTGCTGTACCACTATTCATTTTTCTAATTCAGGACAATTCATAATTAACAATCACTGCATGAGAGACAGATAAGCATAACATTTTTTAAGTGGTCAGCCGCATCAATACTTGTAAAGTATGACTATAATGTAAGCATAATATATATAAAGTGGCTCTAAACAAAATGTTCAAGGAAGAAGGATTAAAACTATAAGCTTAATACGTAGTTTGTACTCAGTTTCTACCAATCAGGTAAATATACTAGTTTTACTTAATCAATATACTAGAGGCCATGGTCTGTGGATTGGCAAGTTGCAGGGTTAGTAACAATATTATTGTGGTTAATTTTTACCTTCACACTTTTGGTTCCTAATTAATAAATTTCATGACAGTAAAGAATTAATTAATTGTGTGTGTTTTGTAGTTATACAAAGAGATAGAAAATGAAATCGTATAATATAACATTTGCGACTGTAAAGGTACGAAAGTGGTTTAATTTGTCTATGAATTTGTTAAGATTTATCTGTACATTTTTTTTATATGATTATATAATTTCTGTAGCTATGGGAGCAGGATTTTATGAAAAGGCAGGAACCTGCAGTTAGGAAACTTAAGGAACCTATCTTGGATGACATTGCATCTGCATTGATTTTGGTTCATAATTGTTCCATTTCTAACCATCAAAGATTACAATCTAAATTTTGTAAGTATCATTTATGACCCTATTGACCACCAACAAATTTTCTCCTGTAACTTTCTATCAAATAATTAAGCAACATAGCACCTAACCATATGTATATTCTCCCGTGGCAGTTGATAGTCATTATGCACTCAATCAATGCAGTTTTCCTTATAGGTGATACAGCTTTAAATTGTGTGGTGAATTTCTGCATTTGATTCCATTTATTTGTCCACTTCCAATTCTTATGCATCAGAAAATTCTTACCCTTTATTTTTTTATTCCTCTTCAGAGATTCCCTTGGTTCAGAATAGGATACTTTTGCCTATGGACAGTCACATATGTGATTCTCCAGTGGATTTTTCATGCTTGCATTAATCTCTGGTATAAAGTCTTTGACTGACACTATTGAGTTTGGCTTGAACTACTATGAAGACATCATTGTCTAATGTAAGTTTCTTCTCTGGAAAAAACAGGTGACCGTATCCATTTCTTGACTTTTTCAAAATCTTATTGTAATTTATGCATAATTTATAGAAAAATTTATTTTAATTATTTTTTATTGTTCTGTATTAAAAACACTTTTAAGAAGCTCCGAAATTGCTCTAGTTCTTGTTCTATACTAGCTTTTAAGATACCTGATTCTTATAAATTATTAGAATTGATTTGCTGATTTCTTTCCTCTTTTTTTTTCAATGCTTTGAAATTGATGTGTAGGTACTTTGCGGTGGCATTATTGCAGATTCCATGCTATGGAATTTTCGCTTTGTTAATGAAGCTGAAACATTATGTCTTGTCAACACGGTATCCAGACTCGTATCAATGTGTTAGATGAATTCAGCTTAGTACTAAACTACCTTTGATTCAGCTGTGTACTAAACTATACAAATTTAATTTATGTTAAAATTGTTTTGTTCCCCCTTGCACAGAATTCAATGCAGCTGAATCTGACACCAGGATCTAACAAAAGTTGCATTACCATCTTGGGAGATACAGGTAACGTGACATTCATTTCTTTTCTTGTGTGATTACTTATGGTAGATAGATAATTGAGCTGCTGTAGCCTATAAGCTAATTGACTATTTGTCATTTGACTCATTTCTTGCCTCAGTTTAAGGATATAGCTTCCTTGATCTTAATTGTCTCACCTTTCACAGTGCTGTAAACATGTATTGCATATCATGGAGTTGTGGGGTATGGTATACAACTCCTGTGTAGATTTTCTACTTCCTCATCGATGTTAATTCTTCTCTGGATTTGTTTGAAGAATCATGTACTATGTTTATAAACCATGGCAGGATCAGGTAAATGCATAATTATATAATATTGTACTTCAGATTCTTGAATGTTGAGTGTATGGAACAAGAGGCAATCTTCTAATCCATTATTTGTTGTTTGGTTCTTTGAAAAAGACATGCATGTATGCACGATTTCCTACATTCTTTTATGCTATCCTATCTAACATATGGATTCTATCTAGACGGAAATATGAATGCACACAAGACTTGTGTACATAAGTGAAACTATAAGCTTTTTTTTGTGATACATGGTTGTATTTTTATCATTGAAATAATTATTTTGAAATTAACGAGAAAAATGGTGCCCACACAGAGAAATGGAGACGATGCTTCTGACATTTGCAATGAAGTTGGTATTAGTTTTTGTGACAGGCAAGTTTTATATGGTTTTTTTTTTCCTGTGGCTTGGACATGTCCCATTAGATAATCAATTTTGTTCCCCTTCGTTCTTGTAATATTATTGGTTTACTTACAGTTCTTGGCTTTTAAAAACATATCTTAGGCTAAGTTTATTATTATCAAGCAGCTTATTGTAAACAACCCTGTTCTGAAAATAAAAGGCTAAGTTTTCATGTTTTGGACAGAGGTGATGAAGAGTATCTATATGTTGATGGCATTGGCATAAAAACTGGAGATTTCTTTCAGTTCTACTATTCAGATCCTAATACTGCATTGGCTTCATTAACCAAGGTCCATGATGCCCTCAAGAATATTAAACTGGAAAGAAATTCCAAGGATTTCAAGGGTGATGGAGACAGCGCCACCAATGTTTTTGGGGGTCTTATTTTTGCTTGTTACGGCCGTGGTGAATCCTTCTTTGGACGTAATAATGTTGATAGCTCCCCTTTCTTGGAAAATTTTCCAGGAGTGCCAGTATCTGGAATATTTTGTGGTGGAGAAATGGTGCGTCCCTGTACCACTGTGATTGGTCAATGTCAAGGAGCAAGTCCGAAATTAGTTGCTGCCTACATGTTTAGCATGAACAATAAAAGCATGCTTATGATTTGAATACTGTTTGTACAAGGTAGATGAGGCTGAAAGTTAAAGGAATCTGTAAATTGACTTGCAAAGTTTTCAAGTAGTTTTATTACCATAGTCATGTTGATTTTACAATGTATTAATGCATGACTACATCAGTGTAAAAGACTTGATAATGTATAAATATAAAATGACTTGATAATGTATAAATATAAAATCCATTTAGTTTTTCTTGTATATGCATAATGTTAGCATCATATGCTGTTGAAATCCAAGGCATGCAATCAGGAGTTGTGAAACGTAACTTAGGCACAGTATTTGTGGATGGAAAATGGAGAGAACATTGTATACAACACAAAATGTTTTTGTATAAATTTAAACTTGAAAGCTTCGTTGATTGGTTTGCGTGAGTTGGAAAGCTACTAGGCTGTTGTAGCTGAAGAGCAGTTAAGACAATAGCAAGTTCTATGTGGAATGTGAACATAAGGAGATGTCGACAATTTTATTAGTGTTGGTAAACTATAAAATATATATACATATATTTTTTTTAATTATAGGAAGTATGATTCTTTTTTACCAAATTAGACCATTTTAAGGGTAAACTATAAAATTACTAACGCCAATAATTTTCAGTAAAAAAGAAGGATTTCGTAAAAGATGCAAAAATTATTGTTCAATTTGTTTGTACTCGTCAGAAGTATGTATCTAGACATGTCAGGCAACATACTTTTATTCGACAGTTTTTCGCTGCTAATTTTGTAATTTCATTAGCAAAAAATGTTTTGGAAAAATGGATATTGCCTCATTTGAGTCAATGATAAATTGATAACCTATACTACAATTTATAGATACGTATATATTTTTGTAAGGAAAGAGTTACAGTTTCTACTAGACAACTATTGATTCAAATATGATTTACATACACTTGTTTTGATTTCGTTGTGAAACTGTAAGTGGCGTGATTTATTAAAAAAATAGAGACTCGTACAAACAAGCAAAAGTGGTGTTTGAAGGTTTTCAAATGGTTAGATTACGAAGAAAATATGTAATTTCTAGAAATTAGGAGAAGAAAAAAACATTATCAGTTATAAAACTCCCACCTGAAACTTACAAGCCTCAGGTCATGGCATATGATATCACAAAATATAATTACAAGTAATTTATAAACTGAAGCCCATGTGGTTTCCGTTTTTTCTCCCATCTCCATACTCACCAAGACTAAATGAGAAATCACCACCCCCTCACAACTTGAATAATACCAACTCCAAATTTAGACAAAAATGAAAAAGAAAAGCTAAAATAGGTCCATTTTGTTTGTCAAGAGATCAGTCACTAAAATCAAAGATTCCACTGTGAGAGCTGCTGCCATTATGACTATGCAAGGATAGGCCTCTCATGTGACCGGACAAATTAGAACCATCCTTGTTTTCTTGAAAAAACCTCTCCCTCTCCCTGAAAAAATTACACGTCAAGAAGTGATATTGCCTAACTGCATTCCTTTGGCATGCAAAGCGCATCACACTGGCAAAGCAGAACACAGAAGACAACATCAAGTTAAAGCTTTAGCCGTAAGTCAGAGGAAACCAGTGAAGCAAGTGTGTTCATGAAATACAATGGTCATATAATTGCCTCACTTGATAAGAAACCTGTGGAGCTAAAGGAAGAAACTTGAAATTATGCCGTTAAAATTTCTTCAGCACCAGAATAGATGACTGACACCATCAGTCATACAAGGAAAGGACCTTCAAGACTTTGGTACAGTAACATTTAGAATTTTAACATCTTGATATGGCTTATCTGTCTTGTCTGTCTTCACTTTTTCTATAGCCTACCAACATCAAAAATTTCAATTGGTTAGTCTTCTCAAATAGACATTTTGTCAAAAGAAACATAATACATTTTAGAGGAAACCTTAAAAAGAGAGAAATTCATCGAAAGATACATATATATATATATATAAGGAAATTGAGAAGGAATTGTTTGAAAAAGATGGTTTAGCCTGAAGTCTGAAATCATGATATTTCTTGAATATGATAAGATAGAACGTTTATAAACAAGCTTCATTACCTTTTATGAAATTCATCCTCAAATTCCCTCCCCCAAATAGACTGCCCACCTGCGCCATCTCCTAAAGGATCTCCTGTTTGTATCATGAAGCCTTTGATGACCCTGTGAAAAATAAGATTGTCATAATAGCCATTTCGGCAGTGAGTTGTGAAATTCTCCACAATTTTTGGACATTCCTCTGGGTATAATTTCATGTGTATATCACCCATGGTGGTGTGTAGAATCTGCAAAAGAGAAATTGGAATTATAAAGCTATTTTTTGGGGAACGGAGAGGTATCCATATGATTTAAAAATAAAAATACATAAGAAAACCAACCCACAGTTTCATATGTAAAGAACAAGAGGAAACATCTTTCCTCTCTTCTACTGGATAATTAATTAAATAGAATAGTACAGAGGTGAAAAAAATATAGTTACTAATTTATGACATAGGTTATTTCTAAACAACTTTTAATGTGTATGACACGTAAATTAGAGTGAAAGCATCAATGAATTTATTTGCCAGTCATAACAATCTACTTTAAAGGCGAATAAACTCACCACATTGTCAGGAAGTGATGTTGTAACTGACTTTCCAATATCAGAAACTGCTAAAAGTTCAATTTCCAATATTAGAAACTGCTAAAAGTTCATCAGTCGGTGGCTTTTCATTGAACAAATCTCTTCCCTTAGTTGCATCTTCAGGCTCCTCTGGCTCTCTTCAACTAATACATGACAAACTCCAATACTTAGATACAAGTTGCATTATATTTGCATGTCATACAATTAACTATTAATGACAACATGCATTAAGCAAGATGAACCTCAATGCACCGAGGGAAATCACTATTGGACAAAATCCCCATATATGATATCATCATATAACAAAACTACATAACTTTGGAATCCAATGCAGAGGTAAAATGGTCAGTACACTTTATTACATACCTGAATAAATATATTCTGTGCTTTTTGAAAGCACAACACAGGAGAGTGGGATCTGTTAAAGGGTCCTTGCTCTCATTAGCATTTGCAGCTGCCGTAGGAATCTTTCTTACTTTTTTGCTACTTCGATCACCTTCATATAAAGCTATTCTCAAGAACCTATCATTATTCTCCACCTTTCCAAGTATTCGAGCAACTTTATTGGTGTGCAAATTAACAATTTATAAGCATACAGAAGATGTAAAATAGATTTTGAAACTATCATCTTACCATAATAAATCATTTTGAATAGTGTCATCCAGAAAAGAATTTCTAAAGATCCTGGCAATCACAAGTGCACTAAAACTTAAAAGCAAATAGTCACCTAGATTCAGGGACAGTCTGGGAGTCTGCTTGCTGAGCAACCACTTCATGTCTAGGTGTGACCTGTTCCCTGTTTGGTACATTACTACTCCTACTAGGTTGTGAACTAGGATGATTTGATTGGACCACCTGATCGCTTTGAGGAAATTGCACTCCAGCCTCTGTAAAATGTACAAATCCAATGTTATGACTTAAGCTTTACTAGTGGCATTCAGAGTGCATAGAATGACTAATATAATGACATCAAAATTAATAAATAGCCAAAGTAATTCCTTATACTAAAGTTAGTTCTTGTACATTTGGATATGACACTACTTTCTTACATGCACTAAGTAAATGACTTCCCAAAATTCTGATATGCAGTGTGTTTGGAAAGTCTTGAGAGGAATACATCAATCACTACCAGTGCCATTTGACATTTGGAGCTCTGCAGAACAGTTCAAGTTGTCATTTATCATCAATCTCTGCCAATGTAGATGACAAAAATGGAAAATGAATATTAGAAGGTATAACTTTGGTGCTAGTAGTATAATAATACTTATGAATTTAATCTCATGCTCTTCCACCTAAAACATAAATATTACAATTTTAACACTATTATCAAAAAACTTATGGAGTGAAATGACAGTTTTACTACTTAAATACACTTCTACATTAGCGGTGAATATAACTTACTCATTTGACCTTCATTTTTCATGACCTCTTGAAGTAACCCAAAGTAAGATGTGTCATTATTATCAACTTGAGGTCCATGATAATACTGAAACAAAATGTTTTGAAGTGTAACATACAAATGATTCACACAAAAGAAACAAAGAAAAAGTCATCGAAGGTAAAATCTCATTAACAAATTAACAACCTGCTGTGCTTGTGATAAAATAGGAACTTGGGTATTGTGGCGATAAAAAGGAACTCCGACAATGTTAGGTAAGTTTGATAGTCCTTGGCTTGAAGCAGCATACCCATATGTTGGGAATTGTACTTGGGGTACCATAGGCTGCATTGGGGGTACCATAGGCTGCATTGGGGGTACCATATGATGTACCATAGCCTGCATTGGGGTTCCCATATGCTGCATTGGGGTTCCCATATGCTGCATTGGGGTTAACATAGGTTGCACTTGCGACATAATAGGGTGACCTCCACTAGAACAAACAACCTGTTTCATTATACAATTTAGATAGAATTATTAATCATTGCTAAGACATGTACATATCCATTTCTCAACATGCACATTACCATAGTCATGTACTTACAGGAGATTTATGTTTCAAAATTTTTTCTTCCTTTTGCTTATTGCAACAACCGCTAGCTTTTCCTTTCCCTTTCTATAGACAAACAATATGTTACTTACAACCAAAGATAAAAATAATGAAATTTGAAATAAAAATAAAACTTATTCTACATTGTCGATATGGCTTTTAGGCTTAGTTGAAATTACATGATCCTGACCCTTGCTTTCACTTGATGTCATTATATTTGTATCCTACAAAATCAAAGAAATTCATCTCATTTCTGACACAAATGAAACAAATACTCAACTAAAATAAAATTATAATTATTGTTAACAAGAAGCTTACACTATCAGCTGCAATGTTGGATTTAGGACATTCCGGTTGAGATAACTTATCATCATTCATACTCTTAGCATTTGTACCAACACGCACAGGACATGTCTTAACATTGTGTTTTGTGCTAGTACAATTTGAACAATGTCTTGACCTCTTCATACCAATCTTACTCTTCTTTGGAGCACCTTTAGTCTTAACCACATTAGGATCACAAAAGTGCTTTCCTGATGGGTTTGGTGTGTCAACAGAATCCTCTAATTTCTCATACTTATCAATGAGTTTCAATATGTCATTCATTACCTCATTGTATAGTCCTTTCTTTTTTGAAGCTATTTTGCAAAACCTTGTACAAGCACCACAATAAGCCCCAAACCGAGCAAGCTCCATCACATCAGAATCTACTCCCTTGGATGAATCTGATGACACAAAATCAATCTTAGCCTTTTTAGTCCATCGTGTCAAAATGAGACTGTCTGGAATATGGTCCACATGCTCCTCTTTCATGGCACAAAAAATATGAGAACAAGGAATACCCCGTGACTCAAAACGTCTACATTCACAATAAAATATTGACCTTGAAGTATCATAAACAACTGTTGTTTCAACATTACGATGACAATACTTAGTCAATTTCAAAATCAATTGGTTCCCGATTACTACTCTCGTAGTAACAATTAACGTACTAACCAATACAATCTGCTCTTTAACTTCCATAAAGACCTCTGCAGTGTAGATTTTTGCAGCAGCCTTCTCAATCTCATAAAGAGATGTCGTCAATACAGGATCTGAATATAGAGACTTAAAGTCAGCAACCAGTTCATTATTTCTATATTCTCTTAAAGCTTGTTCAAAATTATGTATAAATTCAAAAATGCTGCATTTTTTCCTAACATATGTCTTCATGATTGAATTAATAGCTTCACACTGAGAAGTAGTACGTATACGACCAAAAAATATATCACGGAAGTAAGCAGTGGCCCATGATGATCTATTCTCATATGTTTTGGAAACCCATTTGTTCCCCACAAGTCCATGCTTCTCAACCATGTTCATCCAAAAATCTTCAAATTCCTCCCGAGTGAAATCTGAATACATTGCTTTCTTGAAATCCATCAAGAAAGCAGAACTCTTAACATTTTCACATGCATTTTTATGCAAGTGCCAGGCACATAGTCGATGACATGTATCTGGAAAAACATGTTTTATAGCCTCTCTCATTGCCCCATCCCCATCTGTCACAACTGTTTTGGGATGTTTGTTTCCCATTGCTTCTAAAAATGAATTTAAGACCCATTTATATGTGTCAATGGTTTCATCTGACACCAAAGCACAACCAAATATGACAGTTTGTGAGTGATGATTACATCCAGAGAAAATTACCAAAGGATAGTTATACTTGTTTTTCCTATATGTCGTGTCAAACGCAAGAACGTCACCGAAACATAAAAAATCAGATCTGCTGCATCCATCTGCCCAAAAAATTTGCTTCAATCTACCATCACTATTAGTTGCAAATTTTGCGTATAACATGGGATCATTGTCGGCCTTCCCACGAAGATAACTAGGTACTTTGCGGTGGCATTATTGCAGATTCCATGCTATGGAATTTCGCTTTCTTAATGAAGCTGAAACAGTATGTCTTGTCAACACGGTATCCAGACTCGTATCAATGTGTTAGATGAATTCAGCTTAGTACTAAACTACCTTTGATTCAGCTTAGTACTAAACTATACAAATTTAATTTATGTTAAAATTGTTTTGTTCCCCCTTGCACAGAATTCAATGCAGCTGAATCTGACACCAGTTATTAAAAATATACTGATAGGTCATTCGATCGTTTATCAAGGAAAATTAGTTCAACACCTTATGTCTGTTCGGCATCCTTGATTGTTAATGGCATTGTGTCATCGAATAGGATTTCAATAGTTTATCTAGGAATACTAGTTTGGCATCCCTATGTCCGTTTGGCATCCTCGTCTGCTGATGACATTTTATCGTTGAACTGGGTCTCAATCATCCTTTAAGAAATACCTGTTCGACACCCTTGGTTATTGATCATCTAGGTTATCAAAAGGTTAGATGATTTCTTATTTTTTGTTAATTAAGACAATTAAAGCCTAATCATTACACAACAAAGTAAATAACTCGTATTACCTAGTCGGTAATCTTAGATTGAAACTCATTGGAATTAGGACTCATCACAATTAGTATAAATAGTATTGTATATTGATGTAAAGTCATTGTTCACAATATATTTACATTTATTACATCGAATAGATTACTAACTTAAACGTCAGAATACATTTTGCAGGTACGTTCTTCTTGGCTTAATAAGACAATTGACTTAAAGAGTGAAAAGAAGAGAAGACATTAGAGATAAAAGATAGAATATCTTGATATAGGTACAAATAATTTTCTACAAAGTTCCTTATTATAGTTAAATCTACATTCAAAAAATTGATTATACTTTCGATCACAATTTAACATTTTTACACATATATATATTAAAAATAACAATAAATAGATCACTTTTTGATATAATCTTACTAAAATAACTTTACTCTCTCAATAAATACATTATTCTTAAAATAATTTCAAATGTTAAAACTATAATCATCTTGAAAATAGAGGAAATAGTTTGTTGTCACTGATTATAAATCTCTAACTTACTTAATATACATTACTTATTTGTTTAAAAATTAAACATTTCACTTTTCGTATATTTATTATCTAATTTAGATTAATATTTATTATTATGTATCAAAATTTCTCATTTGGTGAGGAATATCTCTTATAGTAGAGTGCATTTTGGTTTTCTATTAATCAATTTTGTATAGTCTCTTAATGCTATGTAGAATTTAAGAAATTTAAGTTTTTTTTTCATGAGAGAACTTAAGTTCTTAATTCAATTTATGAGTTCTCCGATGGACTTCACATTTTTTAGAGTTTTTTTTTAATGTTAAAACTGTAATCATCTTAGAAATGGAGAGAATAGTTTGTTGTCATCACTTATAAATCCCTAACTTAATATACCTAACTTATTTGTTTAAAAATTAAACATTTCACTTTCGTATATTTATTAACTAATTTAGATTAATATTTATTATTATGTATCAAAATTTCTCCTTTGGTGAGGAATACCTCCAATAGTAGAACGCATTTTGAGCTCTTGTTAATCAATTTGTATGGTCCTTTGATGCCATGCAGAATTTAAGAACTATATTTAATTTTTTTAATGAAAGAACTTAAGTAATTCAATTTACAAGTTGTCCAACATACTTCACAATTTTTAGAGTTTTTTTTAATAGTGAAAACTTTTTGTAGTTGAGTTCTTATAGAAAAGCTAGTTTTACATGCTACACTACAATGATAAAAGATGTACGAATTTATTTTTATTTTGAATTCATATATTGAACTTTTGTCAATATTTGTTTTTAACCCTTGAACAAATTTTATTTGGTTTTAGTTCCTAAAAAAACAAATTTGGAAAAGTTCAAGGACTAAAAGTGAAATTTGGAAAAAGTTCAGAGACTAAAATTAGTAAAAAAATTGTTTAAGGACTAAAAACAAAAATGGACAAAAGTTGAGACTAAACATATTTAATCCTCACTGGAAAAATTTACTAGTGGTACCCATGGAAGAGGGTTGACTTGTGTTAGGCTATATAGATTATGTTAAGAGAAGAGATTTTATTTTTAAAAGATAAAATAATAAAATATTTGAGGTTGAGTTGGAGGTAATTATTATCCTTTCTTATATGAATTCAAAATAAAAATAAATTCGTACATCTTTTATCATTGTAGTGTAGCATGTAAAACTAGCTTTTCTATAAGAACTCAACTACAAAAAGTTTTCACTATTAAAAAAAACTCTAAAAATTGTGAAGTATGTTGGACAACTTGTAAATTGAATTACTTAAGTTCTTTCATTAAAAGAATTAAATATAGTTCTTAAATTCTACATGGCATAAATGGACCAAACAAATTGATTAACAAGAGCTCAAAATGCGTTCTACTATTGGAGGTATTCTTCACCAAAGGAGAAATTTTGATACATAATAATAAATATTAATCTAAATTAGTTAATAAATATACGAAAGTGAAATGTTTAATTTTTAAACAAATAAGTTAGGGATTTATAACTGATGACAACAAACTATTCTCTCCATTTCTAAGATGATTACAATTTTAACATTAAAAAAAGAGTTAATCATCTATATACTGTCAGTGTAAAGTTTTTTTATACTGACAACCAATCATATCTTTTAAATTATTTTATTTTATTTTTATTTCATTAAATAAGTAACTGACATGACACTATTAAGAAATATAATTGATTGCCAGTGTAAAAAAATTTTACACTAGTAGTGTATAGATAATTAACTCTTAAAAAAAACTCCAAAAAATGTGAAGTTCGTCGGAAAACTCATAAATTGAATTAAGAACTTAAGTTCTCTTATTGGAAAAAACTTAAATTTCTTAAATTCTACATGGCATTAAGAGACTATACAAAATTGATTAATAAAAAACCAAAATGCACTCTACTATAAGAGATATTCCTCACCAAATGAGAAATTTTGATACATAATAATAAATATTAATCTAAATTAGATAATAAATATACGAAAAGTGAAATGTTTAATTTTTAAACAAATAAGTAATGTATATTAAGTAAGTTAGAGATTTATAATCAGTGACAACAAACTATTTCCTCTATTTTCAAGATGATTATAGTTTTAACATTTGAAATTATTTTAAGAATAATGTATTTATTGAGAGAGTAAAGTTATTTTAGTAAGATTATATCAAAAAGTGATCTATTTATTGTTATTTTTAATATATATATGTGTAAAAATGTTAAATTGTGATCGAAAGTATAATCAATTTTTTGAATGTAGATTTAACTATAATAAGGAACTTTGTAGAAAATTATTTGTACCTATATCAAGATATTCTATCTTTTATCTCTAATGTCTTCTCTTCTTTTCACTCTTTAAGTCAATTGTCTTATTAAGCCAAGAAGAACGTACCTGCAAAATGTATTCTGACGTTTAAGTTAGTAATCTATTCGATGTAATAAATGTAAATATATTGTGAACAATGACTTTACATCAATATACAATACTATTTATACTAATTGTGATGAGTCCTAATTCCAATGAGTTTCAATCTAAGATTACCGACTAGGTAATACGAGTTATTTACTTTGTTGTGTAATGATTAGGCTTTAATTGTCTTAATTAACAAAAAATAAGAAATCATCTAACCTTTTGATAACCTAGATGATCAATAACCAAGGGTGTCGAACAGGTATTTCTTAAAGGATGATTGAGACCCAGTTCAACGATAAAATGTCATCAGCAGACGAGGATGCCAAACGGACATAGGGATGTGTTAAGTCTCAATTTTACCTCTTTTTGGATGAGACTTATTGAACAAATTCCACTCATCCTTTGAACCATTGCAATATAATTGTTCTCTTTTTGGTTCATTTTGTGTGCAGATATAACTAACCCAAATTTAGCTAACAATACCTTAATACATCTCATTTTTTGTGCAGGTATTGAGCTAGACCTTGGCGAGCTCGGCATTAACTCCTCGACCCATGGTCTTTGGAGCTCGGGGGGCTAGTGTACTATCCGTACCGCTAAGCCGAGCTCTAGCACAACTTTACTGCGCACGACGGCCTCGGACACGCGCTAGGTGACATCAGCCCGATATCCAAATAGGTCATAACTGATCTCAGGCCCAAGGCTTAATGAAACCCTAATTCACACAAAGGTACGTGCATTACTTATAGGATACCCATACACTCACAAACATTAACTTTAGCATTGGAGTCTCTTTTGCAGGTACTATGATATTATATCAAAAAAGTTTCTATCACTTTTAAACCTGCTAAATGATGTTACAGGTAACTGTATTTCAAGGACTGCAAGTCACTAAACCTAGCTCACCGTTTAAAATAAAAAACTGCAAAATAAAAAAATGGATATATTTATTGCACTATTTTTGCTAAACCTGGGATGCATAAAAAAGAACATAATGCATAAAGGTATGCCAAAGAATGACTGAGGGTGGCAAGTGATATCAGGAAAACTTTATTGTACTAACTAGGCTAAAGTCAGCCAGAATTTTACATGAATAACAAATTTTAACGTTGAGGACCAAAATGTTAATCATTGTGCTATAATAACTTCAGTATTTCCTTCCGGTGACTACATTAATATCTTATATGCATGTGTAATTGCTTTGTTTTTTTGGCATTTAATAACAGCCTCCATATATACATACATTTGTTCACTTGGTAAAGCTTCGAATCAATGAAATTTATTTTCTAATCCAAAACAAAGTTCTTAATGTAAACATATCTATTTTCTTTCTGTAACATGAAAATTATGTTGTTATAGTCTGTCGCAAAAAAAGGTAACAAAAAACGGAGAGAATAATAATAAAAATGAGGTAGCTGCAGTTTCTACATACATTATAATTGTAGTACTCCCTTAAACGAAGCAAGTAGCAATCATTTTCGATTCAAAATGCTCACAAAAGTTAGAA